TAGTGGGTGAACTTCTTTGTTGAGAATGAAGAGTGTTGCAGTGTTGAGTGGAGATGAAGAAATCCAAACGCTGTTTAGGTTGATGTAAATTTATTGTGTGTAGACATGGAGAGGTGGTACACTCGCATGCCTTCAGGAACCGAATCGACGACTGGCTAGAAACCTAGTCGTATTTATACTAAAAGTCGTAGACATTGATAATCTAATATTACATATTTGCTAACAAGAAGTGGATAACACATGAGTTATTTACATGGTCTAATGCACACACATAGTGGTAGATTAGGTGGTTTACGACAAGCTAAGGTTTTGCTGACCTGTCCTGCTAGACGGTATTGGTAAGCTTATGTAATTAACCCGGGAGCGAATGTATACTGGACATGTGTGATAGATTATTAACAGAAAGTATGTTCTGGCTTCTGGACAACACGTCTGACTTATGTCCAGTAGAATACAGTTTTAGATAGTTTAATTTAACTTACATATTAACTTTTAATAGTTCACTTTCGTAGTTTCTTAAACTAAACAAGTTTAATTATTATCATACGAAAGTTGTGTATTTTCTATTTTTATTCCAGTATGGAATGCCGTGGAAATCTGTGGAAATAATAACGCCTTTTCTACATATAGGTAAGTACTTACAGGTGAAAATGTTAGTTTCATTCATATGATATATATATAAAACAAGTAATAGATTTTTTTCCATTTCGCTTGTAGCCTATGGCGAGTTAATTTTTTAAAATTATAATTTTCATAAATCGCAATGAAATGGAAGCCAATATTATATTAAGAACATAACTTAGATATTGCGATAGATATTTTCACAAGAGCTTGTCATAGTTTGTGGCCCTATATAAAACCGGTCAAAAGGAACGTGCTGAGAACAGATTTGCGAGATGTTACGTGCAGATTTTCAGTTTGAAGCAGCAGTTTGCGATAGTGCAAAGTAAGATATATTTAGAAGAGATAACAAGTCTGCTATTCTACTGTCAGTACAAAGTCGGAACACCTTATATTTTGTCAATGAACTTTCTATTGGCTTAACCTGTTGATACTTATTTCATAACAGCCTGTCTTGAATTTAAGAAGAATATTTTCAGAACTTTAGAAAGAATCTGAACATTTAAGTTTTATGAGATATAAGTCATATCAAACACAAAATATATAAGTATTTATGTGATATATAAAGTATTGTTAACTTTGAAGAATTAAATAATTCAAACTCAAAGTGGTTTTTTATATCACATTCTGCTTTAACTTATAGACGACAACAACATTAAAGCCGACTATCATCTATACATGTCCCAGAGCTACAGAAAAGACGTACACTCTAAAGTGCTGAGGCCTGGAACATTGTCTCACTCTAACCAGGTCTACCAGTCGTTGTGTAGAGGTGAGGTTAGGGTAGGTATCCATTCTGAATGGATAACATGTACATATACACATCATTACACTCATAATTATCTAACCCCTGATATCCACAAAAACCAGCGCGCGTGTGTACATATACTTATCATTACACTCATAATTATCTAACCCCTGATATCCACAAAAACCAGCACGCGTGTGTACATATACTTATCATTACACTCATAATTATCTAACCCCTGATATCCACAAAAACCAGCGCGCGTGTGTACATATACTTATCATTACACTCATAATTATCTAACCCCTGATATCCACAAAAACCAGCGCGCGTGTGTACATATACTTATCATTACACTCATAATTATCTAACCCCTGATATCCACAAAAACCAGCGCGCGTGTGTACAGATACTTTTCATCACACTTATAGATCTGTATCCCTTGTGATCTACAAAGAAGAATTTCTTGTTTGGGAACGTGACATTACTTACTTTAGACTGACCATGGTTTACATGGCGGATGTCGTCGATGAAGAAAACGTTTACCCTTCCGGAACATGGTCTTATTTCCTTGTACTCTTCGGGATGTCATGTTAATCTTTCTTTTGTTCATATTTTTAATCTTTTTGAAGCATATTTTTTTGTCTTGAATCAAAATTTAGTTGAAATGTTGGTACTTTATTTGTTGTGTTTGAGGTTAAAATGTTATATTTTGCTGAAATGCAATTGGATTAAACAGTATACAGTAATACAGTAACGATATATTTGTGTAGCTTACACATTTGGTTATTAAATTATCAGACGGCACGAAAGATGTCCTTTCTGAGGTGTTATCTGCGATCAACAAGAATTCCATATTACCGAGCAAAGGAAGAAGTGATCAACAATATTCCGCGACTATCCGTTTTCCACGATGTCCTCTTCGACTCAGAAATAGATATGATGCACACTGCGACTGCGGGTGCTGTGAGTACTTAGACCTATATCCTAGACGGGAAAGTCTAGTTTCCATTACATCATCCAAATTGTAGGATCGTCGAAGACCATGCAAACATTTCGATTAGTTTTGATAACTGGGCTGTACAACTACATACACAAAAGAGCTTGGATATTATAAATTCTAGTTAATCACACACAAACCGCCCTTACAGAGATCGCTATTTGGCTTAGAAATGTGACTGATGGTGGTAACTTCCATATAAAGCTACAACTAATGCATCATTTAGAATGTTTGTGGAGCGCAGACCATATCGATATATGACATGACAGTGATCTCATACCGTGAAGTAAAAACCAGTTTCATTATTATATTTTTTTTTTTTTTTTTTTTTTGTACTCCTTTTGAAAATGTCGATTTGTTAAGCAGGTAGTTATTAAACCAACCTTCATCCTGTTGAAAATGTCGATTTGTTAAGCAGGTAGTTATTAAACCAACCTTCATCCTTTTGAAAATGTCGATTTGTTAAGCAGGTAGTTATGCAACTAATCTTCATCTTGTTGAAAATGTCGATTTGTTATGCAGGTGGTTATTAAACTAATATTCATCCCAGTGGAAAATTGTAAAGGAACATTGTGACATATATACGTATACAATGTCTGTGCAGCTATTTTCTCATTGGCGCGTTCTTCAGTGATGCTAGGTTATTTACCTGAAGTTCTGATATCAAAGTTCGAGAAGGAGAGAAAATCATCCTTTAGGGCAGACTGTGAAACTCATTTTACCGTGGTGATAGAATGTTTGTAAACATAGCGCATTTGAACAAAGTCATAATAATGATAAAACTATGACACCTCAGGATACTTCTAAAAATAATTATACTGAAGAAGAGTAATGTCTTCAAGGTACTTAAAAAATGACGTCATGTATCAAATATGTGGAAATAAAAAACTAGGCAGATGCTTAACACGATCTCACTATATAGGTAAAACCAGAGCAGCCACGTAATTATGACGATATACCACCATATCTATATGGTATAGATGTATCGCGTCTGTTTTTATATGTTATTCATTTTACTGCAAACTCAGTGAAATGACAACTTCTGTAAAGCCGAAATTTTATTATCAACAAATCATGATATTAGAAAACACTTTAATATTCTAAATACAGTAGTTTTATTCGTAATACGTTTTAAATTCCAAAGAAAGGGTTATTTTTCCATTTACAAACTTGTTATGTCTGTTATATCATGTAAAAATCAAGATTTTTATCTTGATGAGTTTTATCAGGTGTGATGTCACGTGACATCTTTCTGTAACTACATTTTATTCACTACTTGATGGTTAAATTAGAATATGAACATTTGTAGCGATGATGACTTTTTAAAGCATTTCTCAGATGACCCACATGACGCATACTGCATGAAGATAATATATCACATGATTAATGATATCGTATTACAAGTTGTACGAAACAAATAAACATATTTAGAAAATAAATCGGCACGGATTTCAATAACCTTTATGAACTACTACATTTTTCTAACATGTGTTATGTAATTGATGAAAATGTAATGACAGGTATTGTTCCTCATTTACTTACCTTACTTCTATTTTTGTCCGTGCATCACATACTGATACCTAAACCCATTTTCTGCAGTTATTTAAAAATACTTCTCCACAAGTGAAATTCTCTTCGTAATTGAGACATTTTCGGAAATCGAGGAATATGCTACACGAGGATGTGTAAATGTAGACAACTTATATGGTCGATATCATGATTTCATTCGGAAAATTTTTCTTACTCAAAAATGTTAATCTGATTTATTTAAAGAGGTGAAGGTTTCATATACCTAAGTACACTAAATCGTGGTATGGTAATTTTTGTACTAGCATATATTTCCATCATCAACAGCGATGTTGTCAAAATGTTTACAGAACATGTATATAACACATTGTAAAATTGTTTAGATTTAGATTCTATCTGAACCGATTCTGTCGGCATACAATTACTAATTTAACAAGGGTATTGACATTTCATTATAGATGACAAGGTCGACGGTTTTGGTTCGAAACGAAAGCGTCGTGCGTGGAAGTCGCTTGAGTGTTACGTAAGTAACCTGATTATGTGGGTTGTCCAGCCTTATATTACACTTCCCCGTTTATATTTGTACTCTGATTTTGACCAGTTTCGGACATTGGTCAATCTCCTCCTCTCCTCCATTGATAGGCCCGTAACATCACTGACGAGCCATAAAAGCACGAAATAACTGTACTTGTATGATGCAGTTCCCTTTGATGTCCTAGTCAAATTATAAATTTGTGTCGAAAGACACAATAGTGTGTCCTCAGTGGAACTCATTTTGGTACCTTCTTACATGTCTATGTTCATTCCCCAGTTAGGGCAATATTCACGCAATATCGACTATTTAGTATTGGTGAACGTGGTCACTATCGTTATTCAAGCTGACAGAGTTTGCACTACATGGTTGTCAATTGTGATTTCTTATTTACAAATAAATCTCAAAGACTGCTTATATTAAAGTACTGTATAGTAAATCAAAAGCTGTTTGAATCATTGCTATTTCAAAATGCCTCCGAGAATGGGCAAATGTCGGTCTCCATGCACGTTGTTCACCTCGAATCTCGTCAAGAATTATTTTCACCAGCAACTTAAAATAATCAATATATTTATCGTTCAAATATAATATCATAACATTATCTTATGTAAAGTTTGTAATCATAATCGGTCATATTGACAGTATGTTTAAGAGAGAGAGAGAGAGAGAGAGAGAGAGAGAGAGAGAGAGAGAGAGAGAGAGAGAGAGAGAGAGAGATAACAACATATCAATACAATATTAGACCAGGCGTTCAGGAAGAGTAAGCGTTTCTACTTCATCTTAACGGAAGAATTTCGTCTCCGACATCTGTTAGTCTCTGTGTCTATCTTCAGAAAAAACATATATAATCGATTTTGTATCAATGTACATGATAGGAATTATGATTTGCGGTACATTTTACAATTATTTCACATTTTCGGGTTTCAGGAGCTGGTTGTTTGATGCAGCAAAAGGAAACGAGGGTTTATTGAAAATAAACAGGCGGATAGGTCTAATTACAGGACTAGACACCACGTTTAGATTACAAAATAGCAGCATAGAACAGTACCAGGTATGGCGACGAGAAGACTACTATTTTGGAAATGGTATCATGTTAAAGGTTACGGAGCGAAATGAGTTTAACCGCTTTAGAAATTCGGTTGTTTTGTTTTTGCCCTTTATCTTATGAGTTAGCATTTCTTATTATTTCAGATACAGAATTATGGGATAGGAGGACAGTACACACCTCACTATGACAATCTGGTAGGTTTAGATGTGGATCAACAAGATCATATAATAGTTCAGAACACTTAACTCCTTCTATAGCAAGCCAAGTTGACACCAATAGAAATTTCAAAAGGTACCTGATAATTTGATTTGCCTTATCTCCCTTTAATGGTAGTGTGTAACCTGCATTAACGTTGTAATTGCAACACAATTTGTTATTGTCTTGTAATAACCAAAATTTATCTAAAACATCAGAAACAAAAATTGAATTTTCCGCCTACCCCTCAATCGTACCGTCTATATAGTTTGCTAACAAGAGTCTTGTTGATAAAATTTTGGTTTGTGATAATACATTCCTGATTTCGTTAGTTTAATTAATCATTTTGAGTGTAATCGTCTACATGATTTGCAAAATGTATAATTTTTTAAAGTAAATTTTCCTGTTTTTAGAATATTCCTATATGGGAACCTTCGACAACTACTTCCACGACGGATGAAGTAAAATACAGTGGGGATAGGATGGCCACGTGGATGTTTTACGTAAGATCCATAGTAAATGTTACGTGTGATTGATTGCCGGAATCCATGTCAGTGTTACCAGTGATGTTTATTGTCCCTTCAAACTTTTGCGGAAAACAATATAATGAATTTTACTAAAAAATTATTTCAAGACAATAGTATCATATTACCTTATACAAATTTTGTGAACGTCAGTCACAGTGAAAATCCTGTATTTAATGGCCATATACTTAATGACTTGTAATCATTTTAATGTTTACTAGATGAGTTCAGTGAAGGCTGGCGGAGCAACAGTATTCCCGAAACTAAGAGCCAGGGTACCTGTTGTGAAAGTAAGATCACCTTGCAAGCTGTGTTAATGTTTTTGAGGTTATGTGAGAAAAATCTTCTTTGATACTCAAATGAAATTATTATTTTGATTTGGAACGGTTTTTCTATTTAGTATTACTAAAATTAACTCTATCTAAACATAATAAATGTAACTACATAAGCTACATTCGCAATTAACATTTCTCAGACATTTATAAAATTTATTTTGTCAGCTATTAACATGAATATTTAAAATAGCATTGCTATATCGGACCGCTCTTGACACATTTGAATATCCATATGATCGCTCATAGGTCACAGGTCTTTGTTATCAAAAATATTTATAATTTGTCATTCTGAAAGTTATACCTGTAGACAGATTTTGATCAAATTTCTTGAAATCTTGATTAAGTCCTTATATCAGTGTGATGAAAATATCTAGTTTAGAAGATGGAAGGGGGTGAGGGGAAGTGTGTCCTTTACTTACCTTATGTATGATATCCAGCATCGTCCTCTTATAGACTATGGTATACCTACCTACTTAACCTACTTAGCGTTAGTTAGTGGTAAGAAATGATTTATTTTCATGATATTTAAAATAAAGATATCTTCAGTTATCACAGTTGTTCAATAACTGCAAGTGTAAACATTACCTCCTGCTAACTGAATGGTATAACAATTATAGGGTGGCGCTGCTTTCTGGTACAACATTCTTCCGAATGGCGCCAAGGATGATAGAATGCTGCACGCTGGATGCCCAGTCTTACTAGGATCTAAATGGGGTAATATCTCATTAGCTATTATGTCAACATTATCTATAAATCGAGGAAACACGCTGATTTTGAAATTCCGTTGTTTCTCTTATTTTTTTCTTTTTGTTCCCAGTTCATTTTTCATGTGGTTTTGCTTTCAGTTGCTAATAAATGGATTCGCCAGGAAGGGCAAGTTCTTACTAAGTTGTGTGAGAAAACATTCGAGGGAGAGTTTAAATATGACATTGATCGACATTAATCAAGAAACAGAATATTCCTTGTAGTCTTTTTACAAAACACGTTATTAAACGCTACAGATGGACGGATGGATTGATGATCTTTTCCCACCGAAACTTCGCGTTCAACATGCAACATTTCTAGTAAAACTTCCCGAAACTCTGATAACAGTGTGACAAACAAAATTCTTTAAAAGCGCAGCTGTACATTTTTATCTTTAACATTTTCATGATATTGAGGTTGTCATCAGGGAGAGGCGTTAACATTTCCTTTTTTTTCGCTGAATCTCAAATAAATTTCCTTTTGCACGTGTGCAACTCAAAAGCGTGATTCAAATTATGTTTGAGCCAAAAGAGAAGCAACAGCCGCCTTTGTTTTTCTTGTTGTGTAATCCCACTAAACCTGGCATTAGGTTTTCTTTTTTTACTGAAAACTTACACTGTATGTATTACAAGAGTTGTAATGAGGATACCTTTATTGTATGATGCACTGATATATATAAAACAACAAAAATCGAAAGCAATGCTATTTTATTCTTTGAAATTTCAATATGAAAGATATGAAACCAGTTCAATTTATGCATATTCATCACACATAGCTTCATCGTCATATAAGATGGTTGAGTCAAGTAATACCAGCATCTTAAATAAAAAATTACCGCCACACACAGTGGCAGGTAAGTATTGTAAATAAATTGTTGTGTCTAGATATCTTTGTATATTATAGATTTATAATAACATACAACGGTTGTACCTTTGAAATTTTACACATTGGTCAAGAGAACTTGTATACATCTAAAGTTTGTGGGCCTTGTAAAGTATTGGGTATTCACAAATTTACCGGCATACACAATAACTGACTAGTAAGTCTTGTCAGAAAATTTATTTCTCAAGCAAGTCTTGTGTATCTACTAATTTATTGTAATGTACAATAATTGTCTACTAACCAAATTAGTGTCTCGTGAGTCTTGTGTAAAAGTTGTGTCTAGAATACAAATTCCGTGTAACCCTGCGAGGTTCCTATACCGTCCGGAACGGACAAGAAAAGGTAAGGTGTCATCTTCCTGACCACATATTTTCCCCGGGTACTCCGGTTTTCCCCCAACCAAAAGTGATAAGTATAAGTTGAAATAACTTATTTGTCGAAATGAAAAGGTTATGTCTAACAACTGTCTAGTAAGTCTTTCAAGGATATGTCTAACTTGCACACATAGAAAAACGTTGTGTCTGATCAAGTCTTTATATCTGATATAAGCGAGTTTACCGTCACATAATATTTTTAGGGTAAGTCTAGTGTACAAATTTTCTCATATTTTTTCTCAAATTGTATCCCTTTACATGTGAAATGTACAGATCAGTAAATGGTCCTTGATTTGTTAAAATGTATGCTTCAGTATTAACAGAAAAAACCTTGAAAACATCGGTATTTTTCCTTATATAATGCAGACCAGATTAATTTTCCTTATATCTTTAATCTCAAGTCACCGTCCTATCTCCAACTACTGATGTAAAGCTTTTCTCGTGTAATGTGTGATAAAAATGCAATGTTTTGGGCTTATGCATACCTAAACTCTTGAAATATAAAATACCTAAAAATAACGTGCAACTTTTAACAATATAAATATTTTAAAACTAAAAGACGACATGAAGGATATAGTAATTTTGGAATGTAATTTCCATAAACCTCAAGAAATATACATTGTCTAACACAGTAATGAATATTGAAACACATTATGCTAATAAATAATGTATTGAAGAGCACCAAAGCACCATTAATGATTAAAGAATACAAAAGTTCAAGAACAACAACGAGAGAGAAAAAAGATGCTATAACAAATGCATACTCTACAAAGTAATGAAAAAATTGCTTTAACTATTCAGTTTCCTAAATAAATAAATTAACATGTATTGATACACACTTCATTTCAAAACATAATCACAGACAACAACGGTAAACAAGAAAATAACACTTCTTTTTTTTGAAAAATAAATATATCTTAAAAGCTGAAACACTCAATGTTTAAGATATATAGGTACAGCAAATGAGGTCAAATGCTCCAAGACATTGTTTTCCACATAATTACGATATCCACTGAAAAATATTGAAGAAATCAAACAAAACAAACGTATTGATAGAAAACAAACTGTAAAGCAACCATGGGAACTAAACACGATAATAGAAAACAATAAAAATAGGAATAATAGAATTTTAAAAAAAATTGAGGGATAATGTTCACCTGATGAATATGTTCAACAGCAGCAAAAAGCTGCAGGTCCATCAAGGTCACTAACAAAAGTGTATTTAAATCACATGATATACAATCTTGCTTTCATCAGAAGGCAACAAAGGCAGTTCAAACTACCGCTTGTTTTGTTACATTATACAGTCTATGGTACCATCAAATTTTGTTCACAGTTACCAGCTAGATGTGACAATTTATCTCTGCCAAAATGATAATTAACGAAGTGAAATGTACTCATCAGTACAGAACTGCAATGACTGAGAAAATGTATGTTGCTGTAATGAAATGTAATATTTCAATATGATTATTTTGTAATCCTATACGCTATTCACATTTGGGATAAAGGAATTCAAATATTAACTGAAAGTTTGCTTTTCATCACATTAAGCATGACAGACATTCTCAAAACATTAAGGTGGAAGCATGAGGTACCACAACCAATGCTTGCTGTACAGCAATATCATTTCATAAATCATGTCTGTATTAATGTAAGTCAAATTATTAGAACCAAAGCCTGAACAACCTGAATTATTTTTATCGGATAGTATAATTAAGGTAGTCACGTAAAATTCACATTTTGCGAAAATCCTTTCATGATTTGTTGCCTGTTTTAATGCATTTAAGAGAATTGTCTCTTTTCAGAAGAAATCACAGAAGAAAACGAAGACGACCATGGACCTCAACAGTCAATTAACTGTAAAGACCTATACAGTGTAACTGATATGATAGCTGTAGTGGTAGCGTGAACAGATATAAATGATCAATTTGGAATTTAATATTTTAACAATTAAGATACTAAACAAAAAAACTGTTCAATTAAGTTTCTCTCTATCCCCATAAAAGTCTGTCTCAATGGCACCAGTGGAAATAGTGAAGAGGTTAAGAATGTTTTTCTAAAGATGGATGTCACAATGCGAATATTCGATTTTGGACAGACCAAAAAAATAAGAACATTTAGTCAGGACCATTTTGGTACATTCCATGCATGTTTGACCTGAATTCCACTGGTGGAACTCATGAAGAAGTTTAAAAAAATTGTGGTTCTGAAAAACCACAATTATGCCGCTATGTTACAAAATGGTCGTCTTGACTGCCATATTGGAGTTTCCAGAAGGTTATAAAATAAGAACACTTTGTCAGCTTCTTTTCCTTAACAACCCCCACAAATGTTCAGCTCATTTGCAGCAGTGGAACTTATAAGTATAAAGTGTGATTTTTTTCTTCAGAACGGTGTCAATTTTGGATTTTGGGACAATCCGCAAAATAAGAACACTCAGTCAAGATCATCACAGGATCATTTAAGGCAAGTTTGGATTGAACCTCACTGGTAGAATTGATATCTTTTAAAATAGCTTTTGTTGAGGAAACAGCATTTGTACAAACATTTAACAAAATTATCAATGTGGCTGCCAAGATGAAATTTTTATGAGGCCAAAAACTAAAAACTCTTTGTCAGCGTCCTTTTCATAACATCCCAATCAGTTTCAGCTCAATGGCACTGACCGAGCTCAAGAAAAGTTTTAAATTGTGAAAAGTTAAAGGTGGACGGAACATGACGAAGGATGAAACACGATGGCTATATGTCATTCTTAATGTACAAATATTAGTTAAAAAGTTGTGCTTCCAAATGATGTGGACAAAGATGAAGATTAAAATACTTTTATAAATTTCTGTGATCATTAATACTGTCCCAAAACACCCATAATGACGTAAAGATTTTAAATTACATGCAGATTGACTGATTAGGATACAGCAGCAATTTAGAACTTGTTTCAATGTGCTCAAATGAAAGAGGAACAATAGTCTGCACATCTATAAGTAAGAATTTTCTAATACTCATGAATATCTAACATCCTTTACCAGCATATTATTGTGAAATTCATGAAGCAGGTATACACCATTTATGATAAAATCCTAGACTCGTGTTTAACAATTTTTGTTATCTGAACCAATGAACACAGAACAAAGCAAACAAAACAAAGTGACAAGATATCTATACAGATGTTGATATAAATGATGAAATAAATATTGTAAATATTAAAATGATAATCCTTAAAAAAAATAAGTCAGTTTAATATTATAATAATCTAAACATTGTTAAACCTTGTTGATAAGGTATATGAACATGTACATACAGACTATGAGGTTTTATGGTATATATATCTATCATAGACCATGGTCTATATTAAGACTAGACTTCAGAGGGAGTTCAATACTTACACCATAAGAGTTCATTAAACACATAGACAAAGTTTAACACAGTGACAAAATAGAATGTGAAACATTTCTTTTTAAACCAAAAATCAACGGTTTCCACAATAACATTTATATATAAACTTCGCATGCAACAATTTAAAAAAGAAAAAGAAATCATATTGTACTACAAATGTACTGCAGATTACTTACAATTCATACATTTTGCATAACTTCAAGTAAATGTGATTAAAATAACAAAAATGACCAGCAAATTTATTTTCAGCCGAACAAAAACAGTTGGCGAAATTAAATATTGATGATATTTGAGTAATGTGACATTTATACACAGAAGATCTGGTGAAACGCATCAACCTCAAACAGGTAACATCTCTGCAATTTATCCATCTGAAACTCGACTTGTCATATGGTTATACTTTTATATAAGTCTGAAAATAATTTTTTATATACAGTTATATCTAAAGTCTGTCACTGGTGCCATTTTATTTGATAACTAATTAGAAGTACATGTATAAGCACACCAAATATAGTTGAAAACAGTGTAAGATGTCTTATTTTTTAAGAAG